CCGTTGTCAGCGCCAACGAAGAAAGGGTAGAAGCTAAATACCAGACAGAATATGAGCCCAATAAAGAGACTTTCTACGGGACGAAGTATGGGCCGAAATATGGAAATAAAGAGATGAAGCATCGGCCTAAGCACGAGACCAAATATGACACTGAAACGAGGAAATACCACCAACCGAAGGAAGCCAAGAAGGAGGCAAACAATGAGCTGAAGTCCGAGACAAAATCCGAAGCCAAACGTGAGGCCAACTATGAGCCAAAGTATGAGCGTAAATATAAAAAGAAAGAGTGGAAGTACCAATCCAAGTATCCGACCAATTACGAGCCTAGAGATAGGCTCAAATACGAGAGCAAGTACGAAACTAAAAGGGAGAAATACCATCAGCCGAAATACGGAGCCGAATATGAGCCCCAACAGAAGGCTTAAAACGAGCCGAAATTCGAGGCGAATTATGAAAACAACAACATGCCGAATATAGAAACCACGATAGATGAAGCAAAGGTTGATGATAAATATGACCCTTCTTGTTACTAAGTTTTATCAACATTTGTAAAGATTGTAATTAAATACATTCTACCTAATAAGTAGCCTCATTTTGTTTTTTATAATGCGCTAAAATCGACTGTTTGACTGAAATGGAGTGCATAGCGGCAGAATGTGGGAAACCACCTTTCCTGCCTGCACACTTGTGAAATACTAGATTAGATTAAATATCATCATTTGATGTGGGAAAATTCAACTAATTTATACGGTCTAAAATGCCCAAAATTTTTATATACTAATTCGATGAATAGCCCCGTGGCGTCCTGATTGTCTGAGTCATGTGTCCTTCCTTATTTAGAACTACATACTTTCTTTTTCAGTTTTTACTCTTCGTGTATTACTACTTTCAGGTTGACGCCCAACTACTAAAATATTTTACTCATTTCTTCTGGTTTCATAATGTCAAATCCCCAATTTGAAGTGCTCGAGTCTAAGATTTCGCCTCAAACACACATTCCATTGTCTGTGAAATGTTTTTGGCGCCGTTGTCAAAGCAAACAGCCCTATTACGGCTAGAAGTAATTGGGTCAGAGGGCTGCATGTTGTCGGTCTAGTGTGTGGGCCTTAAAAAAGCTAAAGGGACTGATATTTTTCGAAATAAGTATTGTTTTAGTGACCACCAGTAAATCACTAATATGAGATGTATTTACACAATTTCGTTTAAGGTGATGAAGGACTGGTAGTCACGAAAACAATACTTAATCCGAAAAATAAAGTATTTTAGTCGATTGTTATAGCAGATATACGTGAAATTCAATGGAAACGTCAGCTCAACTCATACCATTGTGGGAAAATTCTTCTACCAGTCCTTCATCACCTTAAACGAAATTGGGTGAATACATCTCATATGGTACATTCATTTGCTGGCAAAATGTGAATTTATGCTTTTTTGTGCGGCTGCAAGCGTGTTACATTTATGCAATTTCTATGCATTTGTGAAGATTCCAGAGCCTCAACCGAACTTAAGATTAGTCAAGCCTTCCCTTCCTCAACAATAGTTCGTCCTGCTCCCTTATCCCACCTACATTTAAATTGTTACTCATTATCCTAAACGAATTCCCTCTATTCATACGTTGGCTTTTTAATCACCCTATTCACTTCACCATGAAACTAGGTTTTTCGCCCATTCTATCTGAAATTCTGTATTGGTCACATGTTCGGTGTGTTGCGATTCATGTACTGGGTCAATGATCTGGTGTTAACGTGAAACTTTTGCAGGAGTGAGACCCAGCTCTGATGATGTCCATCGAATGATGGACGAGAAGTCAGCCCGTTTTCACCCGAAACGAAGGAGGAGGTCTCTGGGACTGCATCAACCTGAACGTCGGACCGATGAAACTCTTCTTGATGCCGTTTCATAAGAAATGAAAGTCTCCTCAACAATGTTGTCGCAGGAAATGCATCGAAACACAGTTTCTCGTCGTATCTACAATGCAAAACAGTTTGTAAGTCGAACTCAATTCCGTAAATGGCTTTACCTTCCCGATTCCAAGAATTGTTAGACAAAAAAGTGAGACCAGATCAAGAATTTCTTAGTAATTTATGCATTTAATTAAGTCGCATCTTCTATTCTATTCATCAACTTGCTAAATTCCTTCACACCCTCTTTGTCATGTGACCAAACTACAATATGGAATTTGACGGATCCCCAAGTGAGCCAAACTATGAATCGCTAAACCCGTAGAAAAGTACACTCCTGTAGGTAGACCCCATTTTTGGTAGTTAAAATTGACCATTTGCAAGCTGACCAATTGGATGACCTTATTCATCATCCTTTATATTCTCATTTAAGGTCACATTTTTTTTATTCACATCCAATCTTCTTCCCTTTTCTCAATTTATATATTCGAAAATATGAAGACTAAGATGGTGTGGCTTTCGGTATGGCCGCAGTCTCCTTTAGATGCATAGAAGTGGGTTGACCTCGTTTTCGCAACTTGGTCTTGTTGTCAAGGCGACTTAGTAGAACACATCTTGTCCTAAATCGTCTGCCAGAGTAGTTATCATAATTGCCAGCATCAGACCATCTACTTGGTGCATTCTCAGACGTTTATCCGGCATCGTAGACGGCAGCATCAGTGAGTCCTGCCATTTTTCTCACCAGACTACGAACTCGTTGCTAACTCTGCTTTCTTCCAATCCCTTGTTCATTACATTTCTGTCCTTAATCATGTCACTGGCTTGCCTAAGCTTTCGTCTCTCTTGCCTTTTGAACTTGTCTCGTGTCCAGTCTGAGCGATGAATTCCGCTATTTATGATCTTTTGGTGTCAATTCCTTTGCAGAACCTTTGATATTTCTTGCTTCGTGTGCTGGTTTTTCCTCCTGTCTCGCCAATTTATTTCAGTTTACAGACACCAAATGCCAAGCAATTCTGTTTGTCTATCCTCTCGCGGTGCATGGGTTAACTTGTGAAGAGTGTGGTATTGCCCTCGTGTCAATCTCAATTTCACAGTTGCTGAGTACTGGCCGTAGTTTTTGAGTTGATTGCATGAAGTTGGGCATATCCACTTTTGTGTGTTTCTATCCATCTTCACCTTTCTTTCATAATCCCCGTCCTGCCATCGGCTCTTTACGGCCATTATGTTTCTTTGTGTATCTGTTGTTGTCGGATATCCTAATCAACTTTTTTCATTATTCATCCCAGAATTTATCGTCCGTTCATCGTGGCCTTCTGACAACAGTATACCCATCTTAAGTCTGTAATTGTGATGAACATTTGACTTCTGTCTGAAAAAAAAATTTCTTGAGTCTCACATTAGCAAGAACGATAAACGCCCCCACTTCTTTACTTCCATTGTGCACCAGATTCTTTCGTCAATCTGGTTGATACACGTCAGGATATCCTCCAATTCTTCACTTTGTTGCGTCGATGAAGTCTTAACGTTCTCTTCCAATTTGTTCATGCCAAAAGAGGTGAGAGCTGCGATCCCATGAGAAGATGTTGCTATCGAATGTGAAATAGACAACTCTTATTGTCAAAGTAATCAGTCGTGCTAACGACTCCCTCCGGATCATTTTTATCCACATGATATCCTCTTCTCGGTCCAAGATCTCTAGCTGGGTCTTTGGTGCAGTTTTACCAGATTCTACATCAAAACTCGCCAGTAATCATGTTACTTTTAGTGTCATGTTTTGGATTCTTTTGAAAAAATCATATGAATGCCTTACTATATTTGATAATCTTTAGTTTATTAGGGGGACCTTCATTTCGAATGAAAGTACATTACATTAAGCTCTTCAAACTAACCAAAGATGTCAGATTACGCAACCCCAATCTTGCTTTTCCTTGGAGGGTTAAACGTTAATGACCCTTGACGGAAAGGTTAGGACTAATGGTTTCGTAACTTGATTATCATGCTTATAAAAAACAACTCATTTTGCATTATCCCAACAATACTTATCTACGGACTTAAACAGTTTCAGGCAAAGATTTTCTCTTCAATTATTAGGTCTTAAGGATCATAACAAGAGATTTAATCTTTGACAAGTCTGATTTAGGAACCGTATTGC